TTTTGAAACCATTATTTTCACGTATGTACGTACGTACGTACGTAATAATGTATAATGCACTTTTGCATATATACATGCGTACGTACATGCGAATTTCTTTTTCAAATTAGTATACATTTTTAGTGATTATATTATGATATTTTTTCCTGGGGTATATTTTTCAGTTTAACTGTCCCGATCCAATCAATAACGGTAAGGGATTAAAAATAATAATATAAATAAACAGAATCGTAAACAGAATCGTTGCCTAATCATGATATTTATTACTATTATAGTTATATAATCTTTTCAAAGTTATGGCGTTATGTTGGATTCAATTATTTTGTAGTGGTGTATAAAATTAAACATGATACATTCGTACTTACGTATGTACGTACGTACGTACATGCATTCTACAGCATAAATAATTGTACAATATAAAAAAAAAATAATGAAACTAAACAATCAGTACGAAACTTAAAAAGTGGCGAGTCTCAATCAATGACAATCTATGAATTAGCATTTAAACACTACCGTTATCAGTTATGCGTTTTAAAATACCTTAGGAATGGTCAGGCATTTAATTTTCTTTCCTCACAATAATAACGAATAATAACGAATAATAACGAATAATAACGAATGATAATGAATGATAATGAATGATAACGAAAGATTAAGAATTTTAAGAATTTCAGTGTTTGTAACGTACGTACAGTACATGTAATTTAGAAGAAAACGCATTAACGTTAACGTTGCGTCAATAATAGGATCTTTGTCTTAATGTGACACGTACACCACCGGTCCTTTCCGATTTCCGTAATCATATCTTTACGAAGTGACGAGTCATCTTATCACCTCCCTTCATCTATAAAATCGGGGGTGACACGGGTTAAACAAGCCTGCAATTGTAAAATTCATAAATGCTAATATAATATAAAATAGTCATCATTGCTACGGGATCTGCATGATTAATTTACTTTAAAAGCTTTTTTTCCGACACCAAAACAACGACCGTACAACGCGATCTGCGCAATACCAGCATCTTTCTCGTCAACAAGGTTATACCAAACTGGAGTAATTCCTTTATTGAGAAAATGATAAAATCTGAGACAATTATTATAGAATTATTAAAAAGAAATCCTCATCTATCAAGAGAAATTTGGTTTTTTATATTGTTTTCTATTAAAAAGTGTTGCATTTTGATGATCCTGCTGTTGTCAAAATGAGGAATAGGAAAGGAGTACAGATGTATTGTTCAAACAAGAGTTTAAACTGTTTCAAATATCGCTAGTATGCGTTGTCGACATTATTGTTCATTGAGCAATTTTTAACTACGAAATGTTATTTACTTATTTATTATTCAAATAAAAAAAAAAATTACAACTTTATCAGGCAGTTCATTATTTGGTGATTTACAATAAAATCACGTGCTTGTTTCGTCATCCTATTAAATTTCTTATTACTACCTTTCGTCGCTTCTGATTGGCAATTTGCCACAAAATTTTTATCATTTAAATACTCGATTCGATTTCATTTCCTCTTTATTTTTATTTTTAATTTTCCTTCTTGCTTGTATTTATATTATTTTTTGTGCACTCAAGTCTACTTTGGCTCTATGAAGCGCAAGAACACGGACTTATCTATTGACACAAAGCAAGTTAAACACCAACGAGTTGAAGAGACCACTCCGTCTCCTGATTTCTGGCCTCCCTCTCCTATTGAATATGGGGTTAACGATCCCGTTAACTACTGGCCTCCTACCCCTACTACTGAAACTGAAGACCTAAATAATCTTCCGGTATGAAATTCCTTGAATTTTATTGAATTAATGTCCAAATAAATCAATATATCATTGCCAAATTTTTGTAAATTTGTTTCTTGCGACGTCAACAATTTTTACTCT